TAAAATAGAAAAATAAAATATACATGAATCTGTTATTATAAAACATTTCATTATAAAACATGTAAATATAATTGTTCCGGTATATATATATATATAGAAAAATAAAATATACATGTATCTGTTATTATAAAACATGTGAATATAATTGTTCCGGTATATATATATATATTCTTTTATAGTAGTAAAAATAAAGAAATATAGCTTTATTTATAAAATAACAATAAAAATACACTATTTGGTTCTTTTTTATTAGGTTACATTTTGTTTCTGAAAATTATTTAAGGATTAATTTTAGATCTTTTATACTTTGGCCTATTAAAATAATAAATTTTGTGTGTGTTTTACATTTAGTTGACGCCACTTTTGCTATGTTTTTATGAAAAAAACAATTCAATGTAAGTAAATTTTATTCTTTTAATATTAAGGTTTTTGTCGATAAACCATTTTAAATAAAGTAAGAAAAATCGAATATCAAGTTATTAAAAAATGAATAAAATAAATATTATTTAATAAAAATAAAAGGAAAATATATATTTAAACAAAGTTAAAGAAACAATTATTATTTTTATTAAAAATATAAAAATGATTTTTTATTTATTTTAAAACTAGAAAAATATTATTTTATTTTCTTGGACGAGAGGAGGTACTTAGGGTTTCCGTTTTTCTTCAGGCAGTCCTACCACTGTTCCAATTTCCAAATCGCAATTAAGACCCAAAGGTTGAGAGTAGCACTGTGAGAAACACAACAAACACCGCAGCCCAACCGTTACCAAAACACTGACACAATTTGTAATTGTTAGAGTCTCTCCTTTCGTCGAACAATTGGAAGGCAGAATGGGAGGGAGGAAGAAGAAGTTCATCGACAAGAAGAACTCTGCCACATTCCAACTCATCGCTCGCGACTCCTCAGACCCTTCTTTTTCCCAATCCGACCGCGTCTTCGTCCGCGTCGACAACAACCCCGTTTCCTTCCCCGACGCTGAAGACGCCGGCTTCGACGATGCTACTGGTGACTACGACGACTATGATGGAGCTAGCGGTGGCCCGTTGCCCGAGGACGTCAGGAAGGAAATTCTGGAGCTAGGGTTTCCGGATGATGGCTATAACTACTTGAATCACTTGAGGGAAATCAAGAATACTGGCGCTGGTGCTGCTTTCTTTCAGAACCCCAAGTTCAAGCTTCAGCACCTCCCTCGTGATGTTAAGGTGCTCCCACCTTTGTCTCTTTTTTTGTGGCTTTTAGATAGGTTTGTGTCTTTTATTTTCGTTCCGGTTCATAGGATATGTGCAAATAAGAAAGGAAGCTGTTTGTTTTAGGGTGTGATTTTGTGGTCGCAGGAATACTATACCCAGTGATGTACTCCCATAAACAGGCTAGGTTTGAATATTTAATTTTAGAAAAAAAAAATGGCAAATAAATTAATTGAAGAAAGATAGCCTAGCAGGAATAGGCAGTTATATTCCTGTTTAACATCACACTCACTCTTTTTGATGATAGAAACGGTTCAAATTGGGAAGGTGTACTTTTTTGCTAACAAATGTAGGACTATTTGTTCTCATCTGGAATAATGAAAGGTGACATCAAACGAACATTCCCATCCAAAGTTATAATTCTATTTGTAGTTGTGCGATTGAAGTTATGGATGCGTTTGGCATTTTGTAAACTCAAACTCGGCCTTAGTGATTTTTGTTTCGTTTGGCATTTAAATTGTGAGGTCTATGATGTTAATATTGAAGCCATGGATTACTAGGTTGCTTGTTGAAGTGGAAACTGATTGTTTGCGATTTTTTTGCTGGTGAGTGTAGGCATATGATGCTTCGAGATTGCAAATTTCTGAGTCCCATGGAGAGCCCGAGGAGAATTCTTTGTACAGTGTCGCATCCAAGACTACCAGCGTAAGGGTGCAGAAGGCGGTTGATCCTGAAGTGGCTGCATTGCTAGATGACAGTGACGTGTCACGGTTGGGATCTGATGTTGAGGATTTGGAAGAAGACTTTGTTGTTCAGGCAAATCTCCTTGAAGATGAAGATGACGAAGAGAAGAATCGAATTTATAATAAAACGAGTTTTCCTGAGGAATCTCTGGTAAATAGAAATCCAAGCAGTGCACATGTACTGCAAGTTTCTACCCATTCCAGAGATACAGATGATTATGAACCTTTTCATGGGGTAACAGATGGTGTACCAGGGGTGGACTGTGTTGGTGAGAAGCCAAGACCTCGTCGTTTGCTGGATGAGCAATTTGATTTGGTGAGTTTTTCTATACATAAAATTTTGTTATGTGTGTCAATACTTTGGTCCTCTGTTGCTTTCTCTTTAGGAATCAAAGTATTTAATGAGGCATGTCGAGCCTCTTTCTTTCCGGTATCTGAAGAGGATACATTTGCCTAAAATTTCCGTTGCTATAATTGCAAGTATTATTATGTCTTTATTGACTGTCCGTGCCTTTTAGCCTATGTTTCTCATTCTCTGCATATTTCTGTCACAGCTTGAACGTCAAGAATATGGAACTGATGATGATGAAGATGATGGTGATTATTATGAAAATTATCAAGCCGATGAAGATGAGTCCCTTGCTGAGAAGCTCAAACACTCTCTTAAGAATCATGGGATGGATGATGTAGAACTTGATGATGACAAGTATAAGGTTCCTGCAGATTTATTGAAGAATAAAGAGGCCCCACAGGAGGAACAAGATGATTCTGCTGCTGATGTGATCCGTCGTTGCAAGGAATACGCCGAGGGGTATGAAGTTGAAGATGAGAACAAGGATGTTGTATTTGTAGAAGAAAGTAGTGATGAATCAGAAGTTTGGGACTGTGAGACTATTGTTTCAACATATTCTAATTTAGATAATCATCCTGGAAAGATTGAAGCACCTGGAGTCTATAGGAAAAAGAGATTGGCTCAAACTGTGTCTGCAGTCTTGGGTTCCTCTGATCAAATAATATCCCTTAGAGGAAAAGAGAAACTTCCTGTAGACTTCCTTCCTGGAAGTAGGAAAGCTTCCACTGAAAAGTCTAAAGGCCAGAACATTACGAAAACTGAACAGAACAAGAGAAAACAACATGGCCTTGAGACAAAGGAGGAGAAGAAAGAACGGAAGGTATCTATATTGCCTACTTGATTCTATGATACCTATGTTGATGTTTTCCTTTTATACGCAATTCTTATTATTACCACTTACAATGACAGGAATGGTTGTGTTGTTTTGTAGGCTGCTGTGAAGGAGGAACGACGTGAGGCACGTCGCACTAAAAAAGAAACAAAAGAGCTTTATAGATTTGAAGCACATCGGGCACAGAAGGCTGCTGATGTGTCTGGTCCTTCTTCCATTCATCTTCTGTAAGTCTTCAAATTGGCTTATGAATTTATACAAAAATGGAATGCATAGGTTCCTACATGTATGCCTACATTATATGAAACCTTCAGTTAAAAGGAGAAAGTAGATCAATATCATTAGACAAGGCCACAGGTACTGATATGATATGCCCCAATACTGTAGAAGCAGATATCACAGTACAGGGATATGACAGATAGATTACAGAAATAAGGCATTATGCTAGTACAGTGGGATTTATTAAATGTTGTATTTATTAAATGGACACAAATATTGTATATATATTAATATTCAAAGCTATCAAAATCTAACAAATTTGACTTTTATTGCGGGGGCGCGATTGGCTCTTTAGTAAGTTTAGAGACATTTTAAGCTGGCTTGAATTATTTCAACTTGTGTCAAGTTCCTTCACTTTACTTTGAAATGTGTTTCAGGCGTATCGAATTATCCATCATGATTTAAATTGATAATTTTAATTGCATTAGCCTGAATCCTATGCTTATGATGGTTTCACGTGTTTTTGTTTTGAGACGTATTATTGTTTGCATGCTGTATCCTTCCTGGTAAGAAAAATAGGTTTCTATCTGATAAATAAAACTTATGATTTTATATGCTGGTCATGGCTGGAAGACCTCGTGGTTCATCAAAAATATATTCGAATTTTTGTGCTTGTAAATTGACTTGTAGGGTGCCCAGTGTTCACGTTATATGGTTGACTAGGATAGGGATGATTACAAACTTTGAATTTCAATAGATGCCATGAAAGGAAGGCATCATTTTGTGTTAATTCTCACTTTAATTGCGTGTGTCTAGATGCCGTGGCTTATGTGTTTTTGTTAGTGTTGACTCTGTTTTCCTATCTATCTCTGTAGGTAAGTTAACAGTTAAAAGTACTGGCATGTCACTCGTGTGTGTCTGCTGTTCCGCCTTTTTAAAGCTTTCGAGGTTTGAGGATGCTTCGGACATGGCTGTTGAGTCTTTTTACACAAGCAAGAATGTGCTCGGAGAGTTTATTTGCTATTCTTATTCATAATGTTTACCAATAATCTTTATTTTGTTATCGGTGAAGAAGTTATTTTAGTGGCTTTTTGTTTAAAACAAAGTACGGCAACAGTAAGTACGTTTTGTTTTGGGCTTAATTATACATGAGGATACATAAATAGTTTTGATTATTCTTCTGAGTTGAGTTATATGGTTTACTGATGAAAAATATTTTATGCCTTTGGTCAAATATACTATGATATAGTAACATCCTACTTTAGTTATTTAGAAAATTTTGGAACTTTGGAGTTCTGTTCCAAATTTGGAATGTTCCATTATATGACAAACTGGTCTGGTGGAGTTTTGTACTTGGCCGAATCCCGTAGTTGCACAGAATTCGGACAATGAACAATTGAGCCTATTACCATAGACACCCCAAAATCCGCTTAACATGAAGCTTTTCCTTCAGCAGTTGAGCCAAGTTATAACTAGCAAAACTTAACATGTTATTTAATGTGACTAAGAATACTACTTGAAGATAAACAGGAATGATTACATTTTCAATGTGCATGATCCTTAATAAGAACAAAACTCCTACAAGTTTTAGATAGAAAAATTCTATACGAAGATCATTAATTTTTCTATCCCTAACATCTAATAAAAGTTAATACTTTTTTAATTCTTTTAAAGCTATTTTATAATTTAAAATAAAAATAAAATTTTATTGATGTAGTGTGGGTGTAGAGTAGAAATGGAAGTGCCCATGTATCTATCATGGATATTTTTATCCACATTGTGAATAAAAGATGAAACTTGATGTGGAAAATATGAATAGGAATGCTAAGATATAAGAAGAAAGGAAGGAAGGAGTGTGTTAATTAAAGTATGAGGCACGAGGCAGGCACATGACGTTCGCTTATCCGACCCAAAGTAGATAACAGATGAGAGAGTGGCACTGAGGCACAACCAATAACGAGAATCCAACTCAGCTTCTTCACTCTCCTAACCTTATCCACAATCCACAACCCTCTCCTTAGTTAACAACCACCAATCTGCTTCTATCAGAATCTAAAGACCTTTCCTTCTTACTTCTCTTACCACCCTACACTCCATTCTCACACACCCTTTCCAAACAACCAACCATGTCGCTCACAATTCCCACCAATCTATCCAAGCCCGCCGCCCTCCGCCCCAAACTAGGCTCCAAACTGCGTCCCACCATTGTCTGCAGTGCCACTCCCAACAACTCCGACAACAACAACAACATCATATCCTCCGATCTGAAGGCCTTCTCCGCCGCCCTCGCCCTCTCCTCCATCCTGCTCTCGGCGCCGCTCCCCGCCGTCGCGGACATCTCCGGTCTGACCCCGTGCAAGGAGTCCAAGCAGTTCGCGAAGCGCGAGAAGCAGTCGATAAAGAAGCTGGAGTCATCGCTGAAGCTGTACGAGCCGGACAGCGCTCCCGCCCTGGCGATAAAGGCGTCGGTGGAGAAGACGAAGCGGCGGTTCGACAACTACGCGAAGCAGGGGCTTCTGTGCGGCGCCGACGGGCTACCGCACCTGATCGTGAGCGGGGACCAGAGGCACTGGGGCGAGTTCATCACTCCTGGGTTCCTATTCCTGTACATCGCCGGGTGGATCGGGTGGGTGGGTCGGAGCTACCTTATTGCCATCAGGGATGAGAAAAAACCGACGATGAAGGAGATCATCATCGACGTTCCTCTCGCCTCTCGCTTGCTCTTCCGGGGATTCAGTTGGCCCGTTGCTGCCTACAGAGAGCTCATCAACGGTGACCTCATTGCCAAGGATGTCTAGCCCAATTCATTCCCTTCCCAAGGTCCATTCTTTACTCTCTCTCTCTCTCTCTCTCTCTCTTTCCATTTCTGTGCTTTGTTTTTCCTCCCTCATTATTATTCACTTTGCTTTTTTTTCTTTCTTCTCTTCTCAGATCAGATAGAGGAAGCCAGTGTGGGATGTTTATGCGCTCACTTTGTATCATTTTTTAATCCATGTAATGTAATGTAATCAAATGCATCTCAACCTTTTCGCTTCCTTTCGTTTCTAACTCTCTTCCATTATATAACACTACACCGTCTGTATGCTCAATTTCGTCACTATTACTCAATCACTCAATGCCTATACTCTCACCTTCTATCTGACTACAAAATTATTCATTCTTAAATTTAAGGGTTAATAACTTTTATGGTCCCTATCTTTGTTGGGTGTGTTCGATTTGGTCTCAGTTTTTTCTTTATTCAATGTTATCCTAAAGAATGTAATTTTTATTCAATTTAGTCCTTTTTGCAAACACGTTTAAATCGCTAACGGCAGTCAATACGGATGTGCACAAGACTAATGAGATGACATTTAATTTCTGTCACGTCACCATTTTCTTTAACCTTCAATCCAAACATAAATCGAAACCCTAGCGCCGCCACCGAATCCTAACGCTAACCGCTGCAGAGATCGTCCAAAGTCACCATGCTGTCGCGAAGCCGTTCCTGTAGAGAACCATGGCAGCCATCACGTGCAACCTCCGTGGCCACCACCATCAAAGTCGTGATTTCCTCAAGTTGCCCACCCAAACCGCCAGAAACAAAGAAAGCTGAATCGCACCAACCAAATCGAGAGCTTCATCGTCAGCGCGACAATCCTTGTCGCGCAAAGCTCCTAGGCCATCATCTTCTCCAACCTGTAGAGAACCACAACGAAATCTAGAAAAATTCCAAATCAAAGAAACCTAAAATTGCGCCGCTGCTTGCCTCCACCGGCCACCATGAGTGTTTTCTTACACAACTAGGTTCGTCTTCTTCATGCTACCATGAGCCGCACAATTCGTGAAACCATCCTCCATTGAAGCAAAACCGTGAGCAGCGCTTTCCTTCTCGCGGCGCAGGAAGGTTTCCCCCAAATGCATAACCCTAATTTTGGGTTGAAGGTTGAAGAAGATGGTGACATGACATAAGTTAAATGTTATCTCATTAGTCTTGTGCATATATGGACTGGCTACCGTTACCGATTTAAACGTCGTTTACAAAAATGACTAAATTAAACAAAAATTACATTCTTTAATACAATATTGAATAAAAAAAGAAAACTGAAACCAAATCGAACACGCAGATAGGGACCATTACGTGTATTAAGCCTAAATTTAAATACAAGCTTTTTTATGCAAAACTTTCGCTACACTCTTCTTTTGCTACAGCCCTAAGATTTACAATGATTCATTTTACAGAAATAATTGCATTTTCTTCTTAAATAATTAATAATACTAAATCGATTATACACCAGAGTCAGAATTGCTGCAAAAAGCTATACCGAGGTATTAAAGTAAAGCAAAATGATAGTGTTTCGTTGATGTAACGCTGGACTTTTGGTTTATAAAAATATATTGTTGTATTAATTATGACTATTACAGACTGTACATATTATAATTAAAATTAAGGTAATAAAATTATTTTAAATTAAATTATATTATTTCAAAATTTATAATTAATCATCTATAATGTTACAAGTATTTAAATTACATAATGAAAGCAATTAACGTAATTATCACGTTAAGAAGCATAAGATTGTATATTCCGAATTCAAGAAAAGACATGCAACTTGCAACTAAAATTTGGTAATTGGTGTACTACTACCTTGAAAATTTAAAATATTTAAGCACTGTCCGAATATGTCATAATTCTATATACAAGGGGACAGTGTTCCGTCTGTTTTGTGAAAACGTGTACTGGTGGAGTGACCAATTTTTCTATCTTTATCCTTCCTTTTCTGGAGATGTGCATACTTTGTAAGGAGAAAATATTCCCCTCTGATAAAACTCCGTTGACATTTGAGAGAAAGTAAAATTATGGTAAGAGGTAGGCACAACATGCTGGAAGTCATCTTATTTTTAACGTGCATTTGCTATTTAAAAACATAATCGTTTACTTTTATCAATCTTAAATGAATTATGTCAAGAATCATTCATTAAAAAATTGTATGCCAACTAAATTCATACGTTGATGACGCACAATTCCTACAATCCTATCTTCTCCCCTCCCTGCTCCCTAAACACACAAAAAGGAAAAAAGTAAATATCTCCGGGCATCCTTAGTCACTTCTGCAGGTCTTCCCCTGTTCTTCTATGCTATCTACTTTGATTCTTTCAGATTCAATAGAAACCATAAGAAGACGTCTTAAAGAAATCTTACTTCACAAGTAGAGGGACTGTGCTGTTGTCCAGAATAAAGCAATTTTCTTGCCAGGACCCTGAGGAACAATGGCAAATCGAATTAGTGGACTCGGTTTTGTAAGACGCTGAAGTACGAGACTGAAAAGAGTCAAAATGGAAGAGGAAAATTGACATGAATGTTGTAGAAACTGCCAAGAAGCAAACTTCAATTTTTAAAGACTCAAACAAAGGGAAGGGAGAATCAGTGCATTTTCATTTTATTCTGTTCTTCCACCATTAAAATTTTCTATTATTTCATTTCCTCCGTAAATTAGATATTAAAATTATTCCTCAATTGATTTCTGGCCGCACTATGTGAACTATGCAGCTATAATGCCTGAAAACTACCAAACTGTCTTCAGTAAGTACACAAGCCAAGCCAGTCTGGTCAAAGGTTAGAGATGTAAGATACAAGGATTATGGGCTGGACTTTCCATCCAACCAGCATTTTGAATTCGATAGTTGTAATGACAACAGTATTTAGTAAGCTACTTTTATGTTCAGAGAGAAACTGTTGAGACACATTGATACAAACCTTTGAGGTCATTATCAACTGCTGACTCTGGACGAATTAGAACAGTCCCAGCCTACATTTGAGGGAGGAGACAGGCAGCACTTATGGGGTTTTAATTTTTAGGCTTTCTCTGAAGCTGAAATAAAAACAAAATAGGAAAATGTAAGCAAGTTGCACTTTCAATGAACTATAATGAATTAGCAAGAGAAAGAAAAATAAATATAAAAAATAGATTTCAGCTTGTAAATTCATACCTGAGCCTCTAACTCGGCAATTCTTTGCAAGGATGCATGNGAGCCAAGTTATAACTAGCAAAACTTAACATGTTATTTAATGTGACTAAGAATACTACTTGAAGATAAACAGGAATGATTACATTTTCAATGTGCATGATCCTTAATAAGAACAAAACTCCTACAAGTTTTAGATAGAAAAATTCTATACGAAGATCATTAATTTTTCTATCCCTAACATCTAATAAAAGTTAATACTTTTTTAATTCTTTTAAAGCTATTTTATAATTTAAAATAAAAATAAAATTTTATTGATGTAGTGTGGGTGTAGAGTAGAAATGGAAGTGCCCATGTATCTATCATGGATATTTTTATCCACATTGTGAATAAAAGATGAAACTTGATGTGGAAAATATGAATAGGAATGCTAAGATATAAGAAGAAAGGAAGGAAGGAGTGTGTTAATTAAAGTATGAGGCACGAGGCAGGCACATGACGTTCGCTTATCCGACCCAAAGTAGATAACAGATGAGAGAGTGGCACTGAGGCACAACCAATAACGAGAATCCAACTCAGCTTCTTCACTCTCCTAACCTTATCCACAATCCACAACCCTCTCCTTAGTTAACAACCACCAATCTGCTTCTATCAGAATCTAAAGACCTTTCCTTCTTACTTCTCTTACCACCCTACACTCCATTCTCACACACCCTTTCCAAACAACCAACCATGTCGCTCACAATTCCCACCAATCTATCCAAGCCCGCCGCCCTCCGCCCAAAACTAGGCTCCAAACTGCGTCCCACCATTGTCTGCAGTGCCACTCCCAACAACTCCGACAACAACAACAACATCATATCCTCCGATCTGAAGGCCTTCTCCGCCGCCCTCGCCCTCTCCTCCATCCTGCTCTCGGCGCCGCTCCCCGCCGTCGCGGACATCTCCGGTCTGACCCCGTGCAAGGAGTCCAAGCAGTTCGCGAAGCGCGAGAAGCAGTCGATAAAGAAGCTGGAGTCATCGCTGAAGCTGTACGAGCCGGACAGCGCTCCCGCCCTGGCGATAAAGGCGTCGGTGGAGAAGACGAAGCGGCGGTTCGACAACTACGCGAAGCAGGGGCTTCTGTGCGGCGCCGACGGGCTACCGCACCTGATCGTGAGCGGGGACCAGAGGCACTGGGGCGAGTTCATCACTCCTGGGTTCCTATTCCTGTACATCGCCGGGTGGATCGGGTGGGTGGGTCGGAGCTACCTTATTGCCATCAGGGATGAGAAAAAACCGACGATGAAGGAGATCATCATCGACGTTCCTCTCGCCTCTCGCTTGCTCTTCCGGGGATTCAGTTGGCCCGTTGCTGCCTACAGAGAGCTCATCAACGGTGACCTCATTGCCAAGGATGTCTAGCCCAATTCATTCCCTTCCCAAGGTCCATTCTTTACTCTCTCTCTCTCTCTCTCTCTCTCTTTCCATTTCTGTGCTTTGTTTTTCCTCCCTCATTATTATTCACTTTGCTTTTTTTTCTTTCTTCTCTTCTCAGATCAGATAGAGGAAGCCAGTGTGGGATGTTTATGCGCTCACTTTGTATCATTTTTTAATCCATGTAATGTAATGTAATCAAATGCATCTCAACCTTTTCGCTTCCTTTCGTTTCTAACTCTCTTCCATTATATAACACTACACCGTCTGTATGCTCAATTTCGTCACTATTACTCAATCACTCAATGCCTATACTCTCACCTTCTATCTGACTACAAAATTATTCATTCTTAAATTTAAGGGTTAATAACTTTTATGGTCCCTATCTTTGTTGGGTGTGTTCGATTTGGTCTCAGTTTTTTCTTTATTCAATGTTATCCTAAAGAATGTAATTTTTATTCAATTTAGTCCTTTTTGCAAACACGTTTAAATCGCTAACGGCAGTCAATACGGATGTGCACAAGACTAATGAGATGACANCCGTCTGTATGCTCAATTTCGTCACTATTACTCAATCACTCAATGCCTATACTCTCACCTTCTATCTGACTACAAAATTATTCATTCTTAAATTTAAGGGTTAATAACTTTTATGGTCCCTATCTTTGTTGGGTGTGTTCGATTTGGTCTCAGTTTTTTCTTTATTCAATGTTATCCTAAAGAATGTAATTTTTATTCAATTTAGTCCTTTTTGCAAACACGTTTAAATCGCTAACGGCAGTCAATACGGATGTGCACAAGACTAATGAGATGACATTTAATTTCTGTCACGTCACCATTTTCTTTAACCTTCAATCCAAACATAAATCGAAACCCTAGCGCCGCCACCGAATCCTAACGCTAACCGCTGCAGAGATCGTCCAAAGTCACCATGCTGTCGCGAAGCCGTTCCTGTAGAGAACCATGGCAGCCATCACGTGCAACCTCCGTGGCCACCACCATCAAAGTCGTGATTTCCTCAAGTTGCCCACCCAAACCGCCAGAAACAAAGAAAGCTGAATCGCACCAACCAAATCGAGAGCTTCATCGTCAGCGCGACAATCCTTGTCGCGCAAAGCTCCTAGGCCATCATCTTCTCCAACCTGTAGAGAACCACAACGAAATCTAGAAAAATTCCAAATCAAAGAAACCTAAAATTGCGCCGCTGCTTGCCTCCACCGGCCACCATGAGTGTTTTCTTACACAACTAGGTTCGTCTTCTTCATGCTACCATGAGCCGCACAATTCGTGAAACCATCCTCCATTGAAGCAAAACCGTGAGCAGCGCTTTCCTTCTCGCGGCGCAGGCGCAGGAAGGTTTCCCCCAAATGCATAACCCTAATTTTGGGTTGAAGGTTGAAGAAGATGGTGACATGACATAAGTTAAATGTTATCTCATTAGTCTTGTGCATATATGGACTGGCTACCGTTACCGATTTAAACGTCGTTTACAAAAATGACTAAATTAAACAAAAATTACATTCTTTAATACAATATTGAATAAAAAAAGAAAACTGAAACCAAATCGAACACGCAGATAGGGACCATTACGTGTATTAAGCCTAAATTTAAATACAAGCTTTTTTATGCAAAACTTTCGCTACACTCTTCTTTTGCTACAGCCCTAAGATTTACAATGATTCATTTTACAGAAATAATTGCATTTTCTTCTTAAATAATTAATAATACTAAATCGATTATACACCAGAGTCAGAATTGCTGCAAAAAGCTATACCGAGGTATTAAAGTAAAGCAAAATGATAGTGTTTCGTTGATGTAACGCTGGACTTTTGGTTTATAAAAATATATTGTTGTATTAATTATGACTATTACAGACTGTACATATTATAATTAAAATTAAGGTAATAAAATTATTTTAAATTAAATTATATTATTTCAAAATTTATAATTAATCATCTATAATGTTACAAGTATTTAAATTACATAATGAAAGCAATTAACGTAATTATCACGTTAAGAAGCATAAGATTGTATATTCCGAATTCAAGAAAAGACATGCAACTTGCAACTAAAATTTGGTAATTGGTGTACTACTACCTTGAAAATTTAAAATATTTAAGCACTGTCCGAATATGTCATAATTCTATATACAAGGGGACAGTGTTCCGTCTGTTTTGTGAAAACGTGTACTGGTGGAGTGACCAATTTTTCTATCTTTATCCTTCCTTTTCTGGAGATGTGCATACTTTGTAAGGAGAAAATATTCCCCTCTGATAAAACTCCGTTGACATTTGAGAGAAAGTAAAATTATGGTAAGAGGTAGGCACAACATGCTGGAAGTCATCTTATTTTTAACGTGCATTTGCTATTTAAAAACATAATCGTTTACTTTTATCAATCTTAAATGAATTATGTCAAGAATCATTCATTAAAAAATTGTATGCCAACTAAATTCATACGTTGATGACGCACAATTCCTACAATCCTATCTTCTCCCCTCCCTGCTCCCTAAACACACAAAAAGGAAAAAAGTAAATATCTCCGGGCATCCTTAGTCACTTCTGCAGGTCTTCCCCTGTTCTTCTATGCTATCTACTTTGATTCTTTCAGATTCAATAGAAACCATAAGAAGACGTCTTAAAGAAATCTTACTTCACAAGTAGAGGGACTGTGCTGTTGTCCAGAATAAAGCAATTTTCTTGCCAGGACCCTGAGGAACAATGGCAAATCGAATTAGTGGACTCGGTTTTGTAAGACGCTGAAGTACGAGACTGAAAAGAGTCAAAATGGAAGAGGAAAATTGACATGAATGTTGTAGAAACTGCCAAGAAGCAAACTTCAATTTTTAAAGACTCAAACAAAGGGAAGGGAGAATCAGTGCATTTTCATTTTATTCTGTTCTTCCACCATTAAAATTTTCTATTATTTCATTTCCTCCGTAAATTAGATATTAAAATTATTCCTCAATTGATTTCTGGCCGCACTATGTGAACTATGCAGCTATAATGCCTGAAAACTACCAAACTGTCTTCAGTAAGTACACAAGCCAAGCCAGTCTGGTCAAAGGTTAGAGATGTAAGATACAAGGATTATGGGCTGGACTTTCCATCCAACCAGCATTTTGAATTCGATAGTTGTAATGACAACAGTATTTAGTAAGCTACTTTTATGTTCAGAGAGAAACTGTTGAGACACATTGATACAAACCTTTGAGGTCATTATCAACTGCTGACTCTGGACGAATTAGAACAGTCCCAGCCTACATTTGAGGGAGGAGACAGGCAGCACTTATGGGGTTTTAATTTTTAGGCTTTCTCTGAAGCTGAAATAAAAACAAAATAGGAAAATGTAAGCAAGTTGCACTTTCAATGAACTATAATGAATTAGCAAGAGAAAGAAAAATAAATATAAAAAATAGATTTCAGCTTGTAAATTCATACCTGAGCCTCTAACTCGGCAATTCTTTGCAAGGATGCATGCTCAATGCAAGCACGACGCTTACATTCTTCCTCCAGCAAATTGGTCAATTGGTATCTCAGCTCTGCCATTTCCTGAACTAAGTCCTCCGCTTCTTCTTTAGCCCTCGACTTTTCCTCTCTTAATTCTTCCTAGCAGAGGAGTTCAAAATACCATATAAATCTCAGCTAAATAAATCATTCGCGTGGAGTTATGAAACATAGTGTCATTAACAAATTCACATAGACCACTTCAATGATTAGGTTTGGATGGATGGACATACCTTAAGCTTCTTGATAACACATTCATATTCTTGGATCTGTTGTGACCTCTCCATCTCCCATTTCGAATCTGCAGCTGGATCTAAGAAGATTACAGATCTTCCAACATGCGGACCATGTACTTCAGAAGTGCTGAGGAAATATTAAGAAAAACATTACATGAAAATTTAGTGGAAACGTATGAATCATTTTTAAAAATCCAATCCAAAGCGACACGAACTTGGGTATACTGGATTACGAAGAAAGAACTAAGAGAATAACAATATGGATGGGATAATTTCAGCATTATTACTCAAAAAGTATCAGAAATACAATAGGGTTAATGATCCTACGGACACACAGCAAGCTCCTTCAAAGGAATACAGCATTCCTCCCTCTTAACAGATTTTTCCTCCTCCCCCCACTGTCTCTTATTTTACTCCCTTATATTCTTCGTATCCCTCTCACTCCTAAGTTGATTTTGTTACATCTTTTGCCACCTCGGCACTACTCTTCACACCCTTTTTTTTCTCCTCTCACACACCCTCCAAACCTTGGGCTTACCACTATTGTCTAAGCCCAGATTCCTTGTCCTATCAGGGTAGGTGCTCAGTGAAATACTTAAGTGGCTTGGTTCTCCCTCTTGATATCCTAAATCTTAAACACTAAAATGTTAACTGATAAGTCCCCACTATGAAACTATCAATTGAAGGTCAAGGCCCCGAAAGATAACTACAGATCCCATTGAAAACATCTTCATCCTTCCGAAACTATATGCAACTAACATAACACACTTAAGGTCCCATTTTAAAAATAATTATTCAAACATCTAAATATAGCTTCAAATATGTACCTCGTGTCCTTCGCTATGGTAGAATTGTTGCCTTGTTTACTCAAGGAAGATTGAGTCTTGAGTAGTGGTCTGTCCTTATTTACTAGCCAGTATTCATCCTTTTGAGAAGAAATTTTAGAGGTTTTGTTGGCAGTATCAAGCTTCTCTTTAAGTTCTCTATTCTCTTCATTTAGACAGAGAATTACTTTTTGGGCATCCTGCAATGCAACCTGGAGCTCCTCAATTGATTTACTCAATTTATTATTTTCATCCAGAGTTTCTTCCTGGATTTTCTTGGCCTCAAAAAGACTCTGTTCCAAGACCATCATGTCAAGCTTCATGCTCTCTACTTCAAGTTGAGACTCTAACACTATGGATGAAATTGAGTCCTCTAGTTTCTCCACGGACAAAGCGGACTTCTCTAATTCTATTTCTTTATAACCTAGTTCCTGGATCAACGAAAATTGCTTTGAACTGAATCTTTTCAGCTCTTCCCTCAAGCTGACAACCTCATCTTGTAAAACTTCCATCCCCTCTAATTTCAATTCAAGACTGTGAGCACGCTCTTCCAGATAGTTCACCTCTGCATTCCTAGCACTGAGTTGATCCTGAAGATAATCTGTATAAACTACAAACAGATTAGGCCGGTGAAAGAGTGCTAAAAACCTCAAAAATTTTACAGCAGCATTCAATAAATGCATTCCATATAAACAACTATTAAAAAGTAATTTTGAGGTAAAAGAGACATGTAAGAAAGGGGTAAAGAAGGACTACTCTTTCAAAGACAACGATCTCTGCTGCCAAGTTTTTTACCCATGGAAGTTAAAATGTATGCCACGAAAATAAAAATAATTAAAGAAAACAAACTACCTATTTCTTGAGAACAGTTCAGCAGCTCTTTTTCCAACATCTGAATGCGTTTCTTATCTCCTGCCCGAGCTTCTGATAATGACTTCTCACATTGGTCTAGTATCTGCATCTACATCGTAAATCAAGACTAAGTTTGTTAATTTTAATGATCAACTGGCAGATGTACAGATGTATTTTTCAAATCATTATAGAGATTTAAAATTAATTATATTTGTAACAAGCTTTATATATATGATTTGTATGCACTAGTTTGAAGGAGAGTATTAGATGTAATGGATTTAGGGATTCAGACTGTGTCTCTCTTTTTTTATTTCAACATATACCACTACAGCAAGATTTACCGAACTAAGTTCAAACGGATCTATGCAAGGTTTGACTTCACTCTGTATTGTTCCTTTACCAAGTGTTTTCTCTCCCTCTCTCTTTAACTAATGTCTACTTGAGTGATGTTAACATTTAAGCATGCTTTATTTTGACCTTGAAGTTCAGCAAGAAGAGTGTGTGCAGTAAAATTTGACACTGGAGTTCTCTATATAGGATCAACAAGCATTAAAATCTCATAACACCGCTGTCGAACTAACCTCAACAACCTACCAACCCCGTAACATACCTTGACTGATTGAATGCTTAGGGACTGAGAACTTTGTAAAACGCGCTTCTCTTTTCTGTTCTGCAAATCATAGACAAAATATATAGTGGTTAAAGAAAACGAGATGATGCATAACTTCACTCGCAAACTGCGTGGAAAAGCCAATCAATATTTGAAAATTACAACATTAAAATAGAAAAAATACTCCATTCTACTCAGACCTCGTAATATTATACATTCATAAAATTAGGAATTCAACAAGAAGTAGTTAGGTTTAAAAGGAAGGGATGACTACCTGGTTTCTAAGTTCCTCCGCGTTTAAGGGACAGCTATTATCACTTCTGAAACTATTTGACATTTATGTAAACAAATTCGACACAAAGACATAGGAAGAACAGTACCTGTTTAAAGTTCATTGCAGATAAAACATGTCAAAAATTCCATGACAATAGAGAAACCCTAACCAATTTGCTAAAAGCATGTCAAAAATTTCCTAACCAGTGAATAAGAAAAAACAAGAATAAAATAAGCAAAACTGAGAACGCTTACACTTTTCTAATGAATGTTAGATTTTAGGGGAATTAGTGGGAAGGGTGAAGAAAGCAATTGAAACGGAAATTCGAAATTGGAGTGAAAAAAAGATCGTAGAAGTGATCGGAACAGCAACCGCGGTTGAAGAGACTAGAGACCCACTGCCGCGCCGCGGAATTGCATTTCCGTGGCCGGTCTCTTCCTTTCAAATGCACTGTTTGTCAGCACTTGATTGGGAATTATAAATAAATAAGTACTTTAAGAGGAGCGGAAATCTTAATTCTTACATGTTAAAATTTATACTCCCGACATAATACACTAGTATGATGCACAAAACAAATGTTTATAATAATGATATCTGAATTAAAAGTTAGATATAAAGATAAAAACAATTAAAAAAAAAATACATTCACATTTTTCATAATAATAAAAAATAATAAAATTATTATTATTACTATAAAATTAAAAATAACTTTATTATAAGTAATTTTTATTTATTTGGTAGGTAATTTTATAATTAAAAAAAAGTTAAATTTAAAAAATGTCAAACCAACAAAAAAAATTACACTTAAAGAAACCATCACTTAAAAAGTAAAATTAATAATATTTTTATAAAAAAATATTTAAATGATAAAATTTTAAAAAAAATCCATTGATCGGTATAGATAATTATGTTTCATATTTATTAATATATTCAAACCATCATATAAAACAAGTAAAATATTGTCATGTAATTGTTGGCGTGAAAAGTTACTTAAAAACATAATGAAAATTATTGTAATTTTGTTTTGGATCAAAAGTTCTCTACTTTAGTTGTTTTGTTTTAAATAATGNGTTTTAATTTTTAGGCTTTCTCTGAAGCTGAAATAAAAACAAAATAGGAAAATGTAAGCAAGTTGCACTTTCAATGAACTATAATGAATTAGCAAGAGAAAGAAAAATAAATATAAAAAATAGATTTCAGCTTGTAAATTCATACCTGAGCCTCTAACTCGGCAATTCTTTGCAAGGATGCATGCTCAATGCAAGCACGACGCTTACATTCTTCCTCCAGCAAATTGGTCAATTGGTATCTCAGCTCTGCCATTTCCTGAACTAAGTCCTCCGCTTCTTCTTTAGCCCTCGACTTTTCCTCTCTTAATTCTTCCTAGCAGAGGAGTTCAAAATACCATATAAATCTCAGCTAAATAAATCATTCGCGTGGAGTTATGAAACATAGTGTCATTAACAAATTCACATAGACCACTTCAATGATTAGGTTTGGATGGATGGACATACCTTAAGCTTCTTGATAACACATTCATATTCTTGGATCTGTTGTGACCTCTCCATCTCCCATTTCGAATCTGCAGCTGGATCTAAGAAGATTACAGATCTTCCAACATGCGGACCATGTACTTCAGAAGTGCTGAGGAAATATTAAGAAAAACATTACATGAAAATTTAGTGGAAACGTATGAATCATTTTTAAAAATCCAATCCAAAGCGACACGAACTTGGGTATACTGGATTACGAAGAAAGAACTAAGAGAATAACAATATGGATGGGATAATTTCAGCATTATTACTCAAAAAGTATCAGAAATACAATAGGGTTAATGATCCTACAGAAACACAGCAAGCTCCTTCAAAGGAATACAGCATTCCTCCCTCTTAACAGATTTTTCCTCCTCCCCCCACTGTCTCTTATTTTACTCCCTTATATTCTTCATATCCCTCTCACTCCTAAGTTGATTTTGTTACATCTTTTGCCACCTCAGCACTACTCTTCACACCCTTTTTTTTCTCCTCTCACACACCCTCCAAACCTTGGGCTTACCACTATTGTCTAAGCCCAGATTCCTTGTCCTATCAGGGTAGGTGCTCAGTGAAATACTTAAGTGGCTTGGTTCTCCCTCTTGATATCCTAAATCTTAAACACTAAAATGTTAACTGATAAGTCCCCACTATGAAACTATCAATTGAAGGTCAAGGCCCCGAAAGATAACTACAGATCCCATTGAAAACATCTTCATCCTTCCGAAACTATATGCAACTAACATAACACACTTAAGGTCCCATTTTAAAAATAATTATTCAAACATCTAAATATAGCTTCAAATATGTACCTCGTGTCCTTCGCTATGGTAGAATTGTTGCCTTGTTTACTCAAGGAAGATTGAGTCTTGAGTAGTGGTCTGTCCTTATTTACTAGCCAGTATTCATCCTTTTGAGAAGAAATTTTAGAGGTTTTGTTGGCAGTATCAAGCTTCTCTTTAAGTTCTCTATTCTCTTCATTTAGACAGAGAATTAATTTTTGGGCATCCTGCAATGCAACCTGGAGCTCCTCAATTGATTTACTCAATTTATTATTTTCATCCAGAGTTTCTTCCTGGATTTTCTTGGCCTCAAAAAGACTCTGTTCCAAGACCATCATGTCAAGCTTCATGCTCTCTACTTCAAGTTGAGACTCTAACACTATGGATGAAATTGAGTCCTCTAGTTTCTCCACGGACAAAGCGGACTTCTCTAATTCTATTTCTTTATAACCTAGTTCCTGGATCAACGAAAATTGCTTTGAACTGAATCTTTTCAGCTCTTCCCTCAAGCTGACAACCTCATCTTGTAAAACTTCCATACCCTCTAATTTCAATTCAAGACTGTGAGCACGCTCTTCCAGATAGTTCACCTCTGCATTCCTAGCACTGAGTTGATCCTGAAGATAATCTGTATAAACTACAAACAGATTAGGCCGGTGAAAGAGTGCTAAAAACCTCAAAAATTTTACAGCAGCATTCAATAAATGCATTCCATATAAACAACTATTAAAAAGTAATTTTGAGGTAAAAGAGACATGTAAGAAAGGGGTAAAGAAGGACTACTCTTTCAAAGACAACGATCTCTGCTGCCAAGTTTTTTACCCATGGAAGTTAAAATGTATGCCACGAAAATAAAAATAATTAAAGAAAACAAACTACCTATTTCTTGAGAACAGTTCAGCAGCTCTTTTTCCAACATCTGAATGCGTTTCTTATCTCCTGCCCGAGCTTCTGATAATGACTTCTCACATTGGTCTAGTATCTGCATCTACATCGTAAATCAAGACTAAGTTTGTTAATTTTAATGATCAACTGGCAGATGTACAGATGTATTTTTCAAATCATTATAGAGATTTAAAATTAATTATATTTGTAACAAGTTTTATATATATGATTTGTATGCTCTAGTTTGAAGGAGAGTATTAGATGTAATGGATTTAGGGATTCAGACTGTGTCTCTCTTTTTTTATTTCAACATATACCACTACAGCAAGATTTACCGAACTAAGTTCAAACGGATCTATGCAAGGTTTGACTTCACTCTGTATTGTTCCTTTACCAAGTGTTTTCTCTCCCTCTCTCTTTAACTAATGTCTACTTGAGTGATGTTAACATTTAAGCATGCTTTATTTTGACCTTGAAGTTCAGCAAGAAGAGTGTGTGCAGTAAAATTTGACACTGGAGTTCTCTATATAGGATCAACAAGCATTAAAATCTCATAACACCGCTGTCGAACTAACCTCAACAACCTACCAACCACGTAACATACCTTGACTGATTGAATGCTTAGGGACTGAGAACTTTGTAAAACGCGCTTCTCTTTTCTGTTCTGCAAATCATAGACAAAATATATAGTGGTTAAAGAAAACGAGATGATGCATAACTTCACTCGCAAACTGCGTGGAAAAGCCAATCAATATTTGAAAATTACAACATTAAAATAGAAAAAATACTCCATTCTACTCAGACCTCGTAATATTATACATTCATAAAATTAGGAATTCAACAAGAAGTAGTTAGGTTTAAAAGGAAGGGATGACTACCTGGTTTCTAAGTTCCTCCGCGTTTAAGGGACAGCTATTATCACTTCTGAAACTATTTGACATTTATGTAAACAAATTCGACACAAAGACATAGGAAGAACAGTACCTGTTTAAAGTTCATTGCAGATAAAACATGTCAAAAATTCCATGACAATAGAGAAACCCTAACCAATTTGCTAAAAGCATGTCAAAAATTTCCTAACCAGTGAATAAGAAAAAACAAGAATAAAATAAGCAAAACTGAGAACGCTTACACTTTTCTAATGAATGTTAGATTTTAGGGGAATTAGTGGGAAGGGTGAAGAAAGCAATTGAAACGGAAATTCGAAATTGGAGTGAAAAAAAGATCGTAGAAGTGATCGGAACAGCAACAGCGGTTGAAGAGACTAGAGACCCACTGCCGCGCCGCGGAATTGCATTTCCGTGGCCGGTCTCTTCCTTTCAAATGCACTGTTTGTCAGCACTTGATTGGGAATTATAAATAAATAAGTACTTTAAGAGGAGCGGAAATCTTAATTCTTACATGTTAAAATTTATACTCCCGACATAATACACTAGTATGATGCACAAAACAAATGTTTATAATAATGATATCTGAATTAAAAGTTAGATATAAAGATAAAAACAATTAAAAAAAAAATACATTCACATTTTTCATAATAATAAAAAATAATAAAATTATTATTATTACTATAAAATTAAAAATAACTTTATTATAAGTAATTTTTATTTATTTGGTAGGTAATTTTATAATTAAAAAAAAGTTAAATTTAAAAAATGTCAAACCAACAAAAAAAATTACACTTAAAGAAACCATCACTTAAAAAGTAAAATTAATAATATTTTTATAAAAAAATATTTAAATGATAAAATTTTAAAAAAAATCCATTGATCGGTATAGATAATTATGTTTCATATTTATTAATATATTCAAACCATCATATAAAACAAGTAAAATATTGTCATGTAATTGTTGGCGTGAAAAGTTACTTAAAAACATAATGAAAATTATTGTAATTTTGTTTTGGATCAAAAGTTCTCTACTTTAGTTGTTTTGTTTTAAATAATGAAATTAAAAAAAATGTAAAATAAGTCATTGTAACACGAAAAAAAAAATGTTCTTACAAAAGAATGAGTTGGGTGGTGGATTGACATGAAACATAAAGTGTAACAAAAATGTCCTTCCCTTTGTTGGTGTGGAGATAAGTGTGTTGTTTTCACAGTTGTGTTACATTTGGTCATTGTGTTATGCAGGTGGTGATTTTAGTTTTTTGCATGTGAGTGATCTTGGTTTCATACTTAGTGACGTTGTAGTTCATTGTTGGTGGTGTGGCCTTCTGTTCAGTTGGTAAATATCTGCTTCATTACTATCGAAAGGGTTTTATTGGTTCACATTTAAAGGTTATGCTTGATGGTAAGAGATAACCAAATAATAATTATAATATATAAGAATAAAAAGAAAATAATAATTTATTTAATAATAATAATGACAAAGATAAAATAATAATAATATTAATACAAATAATAATGGTTATATTTTATTTTATATTAATTTTAATTATAAGGATAAAATTATAATGTAACAAATTTATTTATTAAAATATTTTTATTTATTTATCTATCATACTCATAGTATCATTTACAAATTTTTATAAATTTTCGTTTCAAATTATTTTATTTTAATTTTTCATTTCTTAAGACAAACAACTCCATCTCTCCCTTCATATCCATCTTCGAGAACATAAGAAAAAAAATTGAATTATTTTTGTTTACTAGATTATTTTACTGGTGAAAGTTGTAACTATTTTACACATACTTTAATGTTTTGTTCTTTTGAGGGGATTTAAGAGAGTGAATTTGAGGGGATTTGAGAAGATTTGAAAATAAATTTTTTTTGTCATTTATTTGAGTGAATTTGGAGGTAAATGAGAATGAATTTGAAAATTCTTTTTTTTTTAATTTGTCACGCCAATACAATTGGCCTAAAGGTCTACCAAATTATCAACGACGTGCCTATGTGACATGAGTGAGAATTAACATCTGTTCTATACAACTAAAACTTTGTGACAAAATAATATTTTAATATTATTTATGTATATATTTGTTTATTATGAAATAATTTTGAATCAACTATAATACGTAAATAATATTAAAATATTATAAAAAAAATTTGTTAAAGTATTATTGTCTTTGTTTAAAACGATAACAAATCTTTCTTCTTGCTCTTTTCCTCCTGCGTTTCTTCTGCGCTACAATTTTGTTGTGAAGGAGAAGGATAAAATGTTACTCCGGTAATCATGCTTCAATGCTAACATATTGGTCCTCGGTTAATCCCTTCCGTTGTATAAGCTAGCATTGTTTAACCTTTCTTTCTAAAATAACACGGGAAAAGCTTTATAATTTCTAAATTATACTATCAAAGACAGAAAATTATTACAAAGTATTTAATTGAAATAATATAATATAGAAATATATTTATAGAAATCAGTTTTTATTTTTGCCTTTTCTGTTCAGTTTTATTTTTTTTAACTTTTTAGACTGATTTAACAGTTTGGATTTTGTTTTCAAAAAGTGTCATAGTTGTTGCATCCAATTCTGTCGCTTCATTATGCTATGTGACGTATGCTACTAGGGTTACCTAGTTTTCTTCATCTCTGCTTCCTTTTTTGTTTCTTCCCACTAATAAAAAAAATGCTTTTGAATTAGTTTAAATAGGTTTTGGAAAACCCCAAACTATATTAATTAACATGTTTCCAATAACATTTTAAAATTAATGCGCTCTTAAATTAACAATCTAACACAATTAACACTCTCACACATTGTATATATACTGATATTTGAATTTCAGTATATTCATAATTTAATGAAACTTCTCATACACACCCTTTTTTTATATTATTTTTAAATCAGTAATCTATTTTAATATAAAAAGATGATTGTACATAAACAAGGATCTAAAACGTTAATTTATAAAAATAAAAAAAAATCCCAAGTGGTTGAATCTGATTGTAAACAGTGATTCATCTTTGGAGTTAGCGTGTGGGAGAAGTCACCGCTATAATAATATTTTAGATAGTTTTGTGTTTTATAATAAGTTTAAAACATCTTGACATAAAAACTACCTCTCTTTAAAATTTATTATAGAAAATCAATTTCAATAAAATCCAATTTATTCAATTTTGCAATACCTTTTCATAATCATTTTTGATAATTTACTAAAGTATTTCGTGAAAAAGAATAGTTTGATATAATTTAAAATATTAAAATCATTTTTATTTGAATAAAATAAATAGATAAAAAATGTAAAAAAATATATATATAAATCCCACCTCCTTTGCACAGCTTTAGCTGTTTAAGGATAAGCGCATGAATTAATAAAGATTTAATGAAAGNTTGAGGGGATTTAAGAGAGTGAATTTGAGGGGATTTGAGAAGATTTGAAAATAAATTTTTTTTTGTCATTTATTTGAGTGAATTTGGAGGTAAATGAGAATGAATTTGAAAATTCTTTTTTTTTTAATTTGTCACGCCAATACAATTGGCCTAAAGGTCTACCAAATTATCAACGACGTGCCTATGTGACATGAGTGAGAATTAACATCTGTTCTATACAACTAAAACTTTGTGACAAAATAATATTTTAATATTATTTATGTATATATTTGTTTATTATGAAATAATTTTGAATCAACTATAATACGTAAATAATATTAAAATATTATAAAAAAAATTTGTTAAAGTATTATTGTCTTTGTTTAAAACGATAACAAATCTTTCTTCTTGCTCTTTTCCTCCTGCGTTTCTTCTGCGCTACAATTTTGTTGTGAAGGAGAAGGATAAAATGTTACTCCGGTAATCATGCTTCAATGCTAACATATTGGTCCTCGGTTAATCCCTTCCGTTGTATAAGCTAGCATTGTTTAACCTTTCTTTCTAAAATAACACGGGAAAAGCTTTATAATTTCTAAATTATACTATCAAAGACAGAAAATTATTACAAAGTATTTAATTGAAATAATATAATATAGAAATATATTTATAGAAATCAGTTTTTATTTTTGCCTTTTCTGTTCAGTTTTATTTTTTTTAACTTTTTAGACTGATTTAACAGTTTGGATTTTGTTTTCAAAAAGTGTCATAGTTGTTGCATCCAATTCTGTCGCTTCATTATGCTATGTGACGTATGCTACTAGGGTTACCTAGTTTTCTTCATCTCTGCTTCCTTTTTTGTTTCTTCCCACTAATAAAAAAAATGCTTTTGAATTAGTTTAAATAGGTTTTGGAAAACCCCAAACTATATTAATTAACATGTTTCCAATAACATTTTAAAATTAATGCGCTCTTAAATTAACAATCTAACACAATTAACACTCTCACACATTGTATATATACTGATATTTGAATTTCAGTATATTCATAATTTAATGAAACTTCTCATACACACCCTTTTTTTATATTATTTTTAAATCAGTAATCTATTTTAATATAAAAAGATGATTGTACATAAACAAGGATCTAAAACGTTAATTTATAAAAATAAAAAAAAATCCCAAGTGGTTGAATCTGATTGTAAACAGTGATTCATCTTTGGAGTTAGCGTGTGGGAGAAGTCACCGCTATAATAATATTTTAGATAGTTTTGTGTTTTATAATAAGTTTAAAACATCTTGACATAAAAACTACCTCTCTTTAAAATTTATTATAGAAAATCAATTTCAATAAAATCCAATTTATTCAATTTTGCAATACCTTTTCATAATCATTTTTGATAATTTACTAAAGTATTTCGTGAAAAAGAATAGTTTGATATAATTTAAAATATTAAAATCATTTTTATTTGAATAAAATAAATAGATAAAAAATGTAAAAAAATATATATATAAATCCCACCTCCTTTGCACAGCTTTAGCTGTTTAAGGATAAGCGCATGAATTAATAAAGATTTAATGAAAGTGAAAATTACTATATTTAATAAAAATATATATTTATTTAATTCCTTGATTATTAATGCATACAGAACTAATAATGAGTATTAAATAAAACATATTTGAGCAAAAATGTTAGTTAGAGTTTTATATTTTAGAAAAAGAAAAAGTTAAAACGACCAAAAGAGAAAGGGAAATATTACCCTGATTTTTTATTTATTTTTTAATTATACCTTTCCTTACATTGAAGGAATGTTGAGGAATAAATTTTTACCCCTACTTTCCATGTTGAACCACCTAATTAATATACACACCCCGGTTCCAATTTCTTAACCCACCCGAACCTAAATAGATTCTAAAGCATTGGGCTTAAATTACAAAAATCCAGAGAAAGTGGTCCATAATTAAATGTGGTTTAAGCTAAGCTAAGCACGGTGTAGGTCTAAGTTGGTTTAATTCACCTTTTAGCATTTTGGTTTTCTTTTTAGCTGAAAGTTTCCCCCACTTGGACAATAGAATTAAATTATCAGATAATAAATTCTTGAAAATGGAAGCCACGTGGTAATAAAGATTATTGGTTTAAAATGTAGTAAATTTTATCCATTGATTGCTTTGAATTTTAATGGATAATTAATCATATATCTCCCAACCATTTTATTAGGCATAATAGCCTACTGTCCCACTACTTTGAATTTCAGAAAGTAGATTTTGATATATAAGTTGGAACTGGAACACAAGAAATTAGTTTATACATGATCAAATTAGCTACGAAGATGGAGGAAATAATGTTGTTTCCAACATCAAGAACTGAAAAGTGAATCCATTTATAAGGCAAGAATAGCTGAAACAGAAGGACTTTTGTGCATGCTTTCCATTACCATGTCCATGGACTTAATTAGACATAAATCATACTTTATAAGTACTTTATCAGAGTGGGAAATCACAACGTAGTTCTGTTGTTGTCCCTGTTAGGTGTAGGTACCATGTCATGCAAACTAACATTGACCAGAATGTAGCCATGACATTCATCACCTACATTTTCAATAACCCAGTTTTGCTTTTGTCAAACATCACTTGGGAATGGCATTACAAATTTACAATAACCAACTACATAAGCTGCTTTAATGATGTAACATTAAAAAACCCTCAGTAGTTTTTCTGGGTAAAATTCTATATTTCATTATTCATGTAATAGTTTAACTCAAAATCTTTAACAAAATGATCATACCATAATAAACTAGAGAATAATTTCATTGGCGAATGATGACATTGTTTTAGGATAATAAAACAACATTGTTCAGACAGAAATACAATCCGAAGCAAGCTGAAGAAAATGTTTTTAATGATCAACATCACATATTCTAGAGTTTTAGCTCAGACTTTTTTGTGACCCTTAATAAACTAATGGAAATGGAAAACTCAAGATCCAATAAAAGCTGAACTAATCATTTGTTGTTTATTTTCACGACACCTACCACAGGCTAATAGCCACATGTTGGATTTGTACCTCACGGGGCACCGTTTGATCAAGACTGCATCTGATCTTAACCTTAATTTTGATTACTAGTTATTAAACCTTAATGATATTATTAAATATTGCCACTAATGATGTTCCAGGAATCAAACTTCCAAACGAATCCCATTGACTCTATAAACTAAGTTGACGAAGTGGCAAGTATTTTAGCCCTTCTCCATCCAAAACTAACTTTTATCTTCTTTATTTTCAAAATCACTTTTAAGTTTTCCCTTAGGCCATGTTTGGCTGATGTAAGGCTGCTACGTGTATACAACAATTTAATACTGTAACACTATTAAATTTCTTGTCGAACTTTCTTTCAGACGTGATTTTTTTTCTTAATTTCAAGTTATACTGTACTTTCTTCATATATGTTATTCCCTCATTTTCAAAATAATTCACTTTAAAATGTTTTTATTTTTCACTAATTAGTTATTATTTTGAAAACAAAAAATATTTGTTAATGTTGTTCAATTTTATCTTGTGAACGGTGTTTCCATTTTGTTGGAAATGAAATATTATTGATAAAATGGAGAGACGTGGTTTTCTTCTAAAATTGAGAATCTGTACCGACTTTCTTAATCTCCGTGTAAAACCCTATAAGACAGTTATTTATATATTGGTTAAAAAATTATTAATAATATAATACTTAATGTTAAAAATAAAAATATACGGATTTAGTACATAGTTTTCTTTATATTACTTTTTAACTATTATTACAAGGACAATGATTCAAGAAAAAGTTTTTTTTTTCCAGATAACTAGTTTTAAGGAGAACAAAATAAGTAGTTGTTGACAGATTAAATTATTTATTTTAATTTTACTCATTTCGTAGAAGTCAAAGCCAAACAAGAGCAAGCCAAATGACTTCTGAAAGACTTTGATTTAAAAAATAAACAACAACTGTCATTAGCAAATTTTATTTAGTAAATGTCATACTGACTTTTTTAATTTAATTTACTAGTATGATGATACTACCTAATCAACACTTGAACAGATAGAAAGATAAATATGTAAGCATTTTTTATAGGACATTAATATTCTAACATCCAATAAAAATTTTACACATAACATATACTATTTTACTCTTCAATTTTTTTAAGAATATAAAAATCTATTTTCTTAATAACTTTTGAAAGTGGGTAGTAAACAATTTTTTATACGCACTTTATATTTATTATTTTATCTTTTAATATTCTTTTCTAAATATAAAGTTCCTTTTTTTAATGCCAATTTTACTTTCGTTTACAAGTTTATAAGAGTACTTATGTCACAAATTAAAGTAATATAGACACATTTTACTCCAATAATACATTCCTTGAACAGTCTTTGTTTGTATATATTTTTTGAACGTAATTAATTTTGTTCAATCATTACAATATTAACTTTTTATTCATAAACAATCTTTCCCAGTATAAAGAAATGTGCTGCAATGCTTTTTTAAGTTTAAAACAAAAGCAACTGCATTAGAGTTGCTGTACCTAAGAACCAAACTTGCACTGTTCAGATTGCAGAGCTTTCCTTTCAGTCTGTTAGCAATAGTTGACAAAACAGTATCAGAATCTTGTGGCAGATACTGAGAGTGAGCAAACAGAGGAATTCCGCCATACAGTGCAAGTGACCAAACGCTACGTTGTTGCCAACGAAGACCGTTTACAAAATAGTTACATGCGCGTGACACATACAGATAATGCTAGCAATCAATCCATATTAATTGGTGCCAGCATCGGATCTAAAATTTATTATGGTTAAATTCCCATTTTATTTACACATTCCATGACCAAAATGCAAGAAATTTGAGGTGATTCTAGTAGAAAAGAGAGTGTTCTTTAACCACTCGGTTGAATTTTTTAGTAAGCTAGGTAGAGAGAGCTGCAGCACTTTGCGTCAAGTTTGTGGCGTTGTAATTTGAGTTTGTTGCATAGTAGTGGTCCAGCCATCTCCCTCACTCCCTTGATGAATTATTATGATTTTTGCTACTGGGTGTACATAGTGATTAGTGAGAAGGATTTATTAGCACACCACTTGTGTGCCAAGAAAGAGAAGGAAACAACAGATGGGTGGTCAGGTTTTATGGTAGGTGACTAAACAACCACCTTGTGCTCACATGTCTTCTTTATGTGTATTATAAAATCTACCTTTCTATCTCTTCATTTGTAATGCCTCTGGCTACCTATCCCAATTTTTCAACACCTCATTCATTTCTCTTTGATGCAAAGAAAAATAATTACCCCACAAACATGTCACCTTCCCAGTTTTTCATTATATAATTAACTACATATGTCTCTCAATGAGTAAAAAAATAAGAGTACCATTCTGTGGCACAGTACCACAGATATCAGTTAGAATTCTTCAACTTTCAAAAAGAACCAAAACAGTGAGCTTGAACTTTTCTGAACTGAAACTTATTCTACCAATAACATATGGCACACGGAAAAAAAAAGAAAAAAAAAAAGAAACCAGAAGAGGAAGAAAACAGTGTGTTATGAGCTAATTGAAAAAACTGAACAAAAATAGAAATACCCTGATGATGAAGAAGAAGAAGAAGCATAGCCTGTAAAGAATTAATGAAATGAATGCAGAAACATCTCTATACAGTTTGAATCTTCACTCTGAAGTAGCAGCACTGATGGAATACACTATGTCACCTTTGGCTATAAGATCAGGCCTACCAGTGCCTCCTGCTTGTGGTTGTCTTGTACTACCCACCAGGGTCTGTTAGAGTCAGCATGACTATTGCTTTCTTCCTCGGTAGCAGCGGGAAGATTAAGATCAAGGAAGTCCCTGATTTCTGCCACTGGTTCCTGGAGTACAACTGTTTGAAAGTTTCTACTCTCAGACCCACCAGTCATATGAGATCTCTTGTGGCCACCCAAGGCTTGGCCTGATGGAAAAACTTTGAGGCAAATTGGGCACTCGTGCCCCTTGCTCTTCTTGGATTCAGTAACTGTTTCCACCTCATCATGAAAACCGGCACCCTGTTGGTGTTCCCCAAGATACTCACGGTCAGTGCTGTTCACGAGCTTGTGTTCGGTTGTTATTGGATCAGGAGAGAGATCAGTTTCAATGCTGTTTTCGCTGCTCTCATTTTTCGAAGCAAAGCATCCCTTGATCTTCTTGTGGCTAGCTCTATGGCCTCCAAGAGCTTGGTATGAGTGGAAGGTTTTATTGCAAGTGGTACACTCAAACTTGCCTCTCTTGTGAGAGTTCTTGCTTGATTCAGGTTCTGAAGCCTTGTCCGCCCAGTTCTTGTTTGACTTCAATTCAGAGCCGATAAGCTTTGTCTTGATCGAATTGTACTTGTTGCCGGTAGCAGCGGACTTTGATAAAATTGATTCTGGTTCATTGACTCTGCTCCTCCCACGTTCCCCTTCTGAATCCTCCAATGCAGACACATATTGAAGCTCAGAGTTGTTGACCTTTTCATATCCTTTACTAGAAACTCCGCTTTTGTTCGCTCCAAATCCATTTTCAGTAGTCTCCACAGTAGCAGCAGTAGTAGTCAAACGCTGCGAACTCTTTCCTCTGATTGAGCTGGGATTTTCCGAATTCCCAACCTCCCACTTATTATCACTTTGCTTGATCATTCTTGCCGTGTTAGGCGTGAAGTCAGTGCTGCCATCAAATTTGGCAACCAGATTAGTTCGAACCGAAGATCGAGCTTCGAAATAAGCAGAGTTGTTGTCAGAGGACTCGGCAACAGAATGAGGACCACTCCAAGGACTCACATCCCTACTGAGCATCATCAAGCTCATAGCAACCTCTTCTTGCTCCTGCTCAACTTCAGAGAGAGAAGAGGAAGGATTGGCAAAAGACACAACCGAAGAAGTTGCTGCGGCAGAAGCAACCGTGTACCTTGTTCTTCTCTTGGACCTTCTTCTCTTATTTGGAGCAGTTGCTTCGTTATCAGACTGACTATCCATGACCACCTTAGCATTAGTCCACGAATCTTGATCTTCCAAGCTGTCAGAAGCTCTCTCTTTCTCGGAGTGGCATTTCATGTGACCAAACAAGGCCTTCCAAGAGTGGAACGCTTTGCCACACTCTTTGCAGAACTTGTCAAACACCAAAGCGTCTTCGCTCGAATGATCCGAGATTCTCCAAGTCTTCTTGGGGTTCTCTCGGAGGCCATAGCCAGCGTTGGTTGCAGCAGCTTCGGAATCTTTGTCTCCATCATTGTTGAGAGACGACGAAAAAAGCTTCCTCGTCGGAAGCTTTTCTTTTTCCTCCGACGACAAGTTGGTGATATGAGACCTCATGTGGCCCCCCAAGGATCTGCCACAAGGGAAGCACTTGCCGCAGAACTTGCACGCGTGTTTGAATTCTTGAATTTGATCTCCTTCCATTGAATTCGGTCACGGATCAGTGAAGCAAAAGGGTAGGCCGTTGATTGGAGGCCGAATCAGAGAGAGTCCAGGAATGCTGAATTCATCGATCTCGTGACACCAATCAGAGAAGAAGAAAAGTACAACCGAAGAGACCCAGATCAGATTATTGATGTGAAAGTGCGAAAAGCTGCATCAGGGTACCCTTTTGCACTGAGGTTCTTGGAGTGCCCACAAAATTTGGAAATCTAAGGAAGAAAAAGAGGAAAAAGGAAAGAGATGTAGAATGAGAAGTGAAGGAAAGCAAAGTAGAAGAAGCAGGATTATGGTTAGTTGAGTTTGGAAGAAAAAATGAGAACTTGGAAGAGATGTGGTTACCTTTGTTGGCAATGATGGCGAAGAAGAAGAAGAAGAAGGGAAGAGAGGAGAAAAATAGGGAGAGAGATGAATTCTCTCTCTTCTCTCTACTTGACTATATTTGGAGGAGAAATCCATGCATGGAAGCAAAGATAAAAAAGAGGGAGTGGTGAAGAGAGAGAGGATAGCAGCACGTGTACTCAACTGAGAATACTACTCCACTCCTAATCGAACGGTATAAGATGTGTCCACGTCATCATCCAACAGGCGAGGAACCTACGAAAACTAACTGGAACCCCAACTATTCCTTCCTTTGTCTTGCTATTAAGGAAATGGTTATTGCTATTTCCACCACTCACTTTCTCACACTTGAAGTGAAAGGTTCCACCCTCCGGCCGTTATTCTTTGGACTTTCTATTAGTGAATGGTTTTTATTTGAGAAATTAGAAAAGATTTTGAAGTGGGGCCCATGCAAAGCCTGCTCCTATGCCCACTGTTTCCTGATTCTCTCTTTGGCACGTTTCGAGGGCATTTTCGTAAACCAAAACTCCCCAACTCTCTTAAGTTAGCTTCTTCTACTTTTCAACCTCCTTTTCCCCTTAGTCGCTCAGCATGCACCTTCTCTTAAATATTAAATCTTTCTCTACTTAATATCTTCCTTTTCTTTCACATCTTGTAAATTCATTTAAATTTAAATATCACTTCTTAACGTACCTAAACATATATAGGATGAGAAATTAGTACTTATAATGTGATATTTTTTTCTTTAAGGGCAACAGAGATACAGCTAAATTCGCTTGGCATGACAGGAATTGTTTAAATTGGTTAGGTGGACTCTGAAAAGCATTTAAGAGTAAGAAGTTGGATAAAAATTGTAAGGCATAGTTTGTATCAGTAAAGCAATGCTAATTGTAATTAAGTTTAAGGGAAACATGTTGGGTCTGGGTGTTTCCCTGTTTTTGAATTTTCTTTCATATCACACGTACAAACTCTTAAATAAAAGTATGAGAGAAATGATAATTTGGTGAAGGATCAATTTCCAATATTGACGTTACACATAAATGATTAAAATCATATAATTTTGGGTCGTTGTCATTTCAAGTATTTTCAATGGATAAAATTTGTGGTATGTCCCCACCCACACCCCCTGAAAACCAGTGATGCGTTTTTTTCTATTATGTCGCAACGGAGTAATAAATTGCTCTTAGCACTGAAATTTACCAAATGCAGTATTCAGATTCTTCTTTCTGTTATTAATTAGTTCACAGGTTTATATTCATACACCTAATAGTACAAGAGAGAACCCACGATGCAGGTGAAAAAGCTAGGTCAAATATACATTTACTGTCATTAAAACATCGCATAAATTTATGTTATGTAAATATATACACAGGGATTTGCACACGCGCGTACCTCTCTTTTTTGGTACATTTTAATAATGTGTATCGAGTTTTAGTAGACAAAAATACCCTTATATATTATGAATTCTAAGTTTTAAGGTTAAAGGTATCAAAACTAAAAAGAAAAAAGAAATCCCCATACCCTTACTCACCTCTCTCATTCCTCTCAACCCTTTCTGTTTCATCTTTCTCACTTCAATTTTTCCTCTCTGTCATCCTACTGTAGCCCCAATTGAAAAAATCAGAAACACTTGTTGTTAAACAATCTTATCAAAAAAATGATTTATAATGAGTTTTCATCTTATAATTTTTGTCTTATCTAATTTTATCTAATTTTCACAAGCATAATGACATCAAAGGAATTGGTAATTGGTTGAAAAAAATCAGAAACACTCGTTGTTAAACAATTTCTTACAAAAAAAATGACTTTATAATGAGTTTTCATTTTATAATGACTTTAAAATGAGTTTTCATTTTATAATTTTTGTCGTATATAATTTTATCTAATTTTCACAAGCATAATGACATCCGAAAGAATTGGTAATTGGCCTGAAGGGTTTTTTTAGAGATGATGATTCAACATATGCAGATGATGAAATTAGAGAGGTTAGTGAAAATGGTGAAATTGAAGAGATCTTGAATGAACCTTTGCGTGAAAGTGAACATGTCAATGACTCAACTTTTTACAAAGGCAAATTGTTTAAAGACGTTCTGATTTTTTCAATTGGGACTACAGTAGAGATGACAGAGAAAAGAGGTTGGAGTGAAAAAGATGAAAGAGAAAGGATTGAAAGAAATGAGAGACTTGAGTAAGGATTTGGGAGGTTTCTTTTTTAAGTTTTGAGAATGAAAATTATTAAAATACCCTAAACCTTAAAACTTATAATCATCATATATAAAGATATTTTTGTCTTAACATTGCTAAAATGTACCAACTGAAAAACAGGCAAACCCCATATATATATATATATATATATATATATATATATATATAAAATAAAACTTATTTTATTATTCTCAATCATAAAAAATAAAATACATTCTCATATCCTTTATTTGTAATAATTTATTCCTCTTAAAAAGAAAATTAGGAAAACTAAGAAAATAAAATAAAAAATTATATATTTTCTCTAATTAAAAAATTGTAAAGATATTAACTCAAATTACAACACTCCCCTCTTCAACTTGGAAAATGAATATTAATCATATATATTCAATTCTTTAATGATATTTTTTGTTCGATTCTTATAAATTAAAAATAACAAAAAGTTAATACTGAAATTCTCACCACAGTTGAAGAATAAGCATTTTCATAATGCTTTCTACAGACATGTCCAATAAAATAAATAGAATAAAATCAACAAATTTATCATATATAATAATTTATATTAAGAGAACTGAAATCATTGTTACACGTATAAAAGGAAATAAAATCTTACACATGTTGGTCTAACTTCATTTTCTCACTTAAAAGGTATTTTTATGAGTTAAAGTGAAAATAAAGTTTCAAAAATGAAGTTGAGATGAGCTGAAGTTTTTTATTTAATTTAGTTTTAGAATTCCTTTTAAGTTAATTTTTTTTTGGAAAAATAGAAACAGTTTTTTGTTAACTTTTAGTCAACATATATTTATGTTAGAGATAAAAAAAAGTCATAAAAACATTAATTTATGCATTTAAACCTTTCAAGTTTTTTTAATATAAAAGTACTTTCATTTTAAAATATTAATTTTGAGAACAATATCTTTATTAAAATACAAATATATAAATTAAATATAAGGGATAAACAATAATTTAAATTTCAAACTGTAGATATTATTTATTCATTTTAACGATAAGCTTTTATTTTAAGTTATGAACGTTTACAAATAAAACATATAATATTTAAATTCTCTATGTCAAACTAAGACTTCACAATACATAAAATCATTTTAAAAATAAAATAAATATGTAAGAATTATTTAAATAAAATACGGTGAAGTATTCAAATTCAGAAATCAATCAATGCTTATATAAAAAATTTAAGAAACCAAAGAAAAAGAAATTGGTATTAATAAGCTCTGTATAACAATAAAAAATATATTTTTTGCTAGTTTTATTAAAAGTAACTTAGCTTTAAATTTTGTATCATACATATGACATTAAAGTTTAAATGTTCTCAATTTTTACAAGGAAGTCAAATAGGATATGTTTTTTTTTATAGCTGATACAAATTTTGATTACTACTGGTAAACTAATAAGAATGATTTTTGATCGATTAAGAGTGTAAAACTTTTTTACATATAATCATTAAATTCTATATTTTAAGCACTTACATGACAAGAAAAATATGCCTAACTTTTATAAAATTGTCTCATAATTAACACAAACGAATGTAATCCAATGCATTTTTTTACCGAAAGGATATGGTGTTGGATTTCAGAGTAACAAAGAAGAATATCTTATCGTTAAAATATCTTGATACAATCACTTCCTTTTAGTTAAAATAGACATCATAGAAACTCAACCTCCATTCTAGAAGTGCGTGAGGGAGAATATTTGCTTAATATTTTTTTTTAAATTATTATTTTTATTTATTATTTAAATTTAGAAAATGAAAGTTAAAATATTTTAAATATTTGATATTCTATCACATTTATTCTATTAAAAAGTATAAAAATAAAATAAAATAACAAAACTTTCTGTGTATAACATATATCTTTTATGTTTTGAAAAGCCAAGTGTACTAAATTTCACGCACAGCGTATCTGACCTAACCTAATATTTCCAATAGAGAGAAGGGAGATGAAATATTGAAATTAAAATATTATATAAGAAAAGTAGATGTAGATGTGATTAGCAAGAGTTGAATTAATTAGAAAAGGGTATCTGAATAAGATTAAGCATGGTTAATTCATTAAGAGAGGTTGAATAAAGAAGTAGTACAAGCTGTCTAGCATCGTGACTTGTGAGTGCCTTGTTATTTTAAGACAAAGGGTGCATTGGATCTTAGTTTCTCCTAATTTTCTCACTATTATATGTCACACATTGGCCACCATGGCTACCTTTAAAAGGGTCAAGACCCAAGTAAGTGCCGGCAATTTTTCATTTTTCAAGCCGGCCACCTTCATTAACATCACTGTCCTATTACCACTCAAACAACTTCACTGTAATTACTTCATTTTGTGCCTCCTTTTGCCGGCAACTTAGTATTCTCGTTCGCTGTATTTGTCCATACTTTCGTTGTTCTAATGGCTGATATATATATCCACTCACAGAAGAAGAACCTTCATATGCAAAAGGGTAGCATTAGAATATGATGTTTCAAAATAATATATATACTATATGATTGGACTTTCTATCCCTTCCTGTTAATTTTCTATTTAGGTAACATGTGCATGCACATAATGCATGCGGTGTGCCTAGCACCAGCTACCACACCTTCACTCGATGTACACTCTCCACATTTTTTAGCCTCTATCAAAAATATATGCTATTTATGTGTATGCCCTTTTATGTATACTAATCTGAAAAGAAACTGTGTATGGACTTGTGAGAAAATTGAGTAATTTGATGAGAAAAGGCCAACAGAATGGAACTTCCGTTGTCATGTCATCACTTTTTTTCCTTTAAAAAATGGAAGTAGATGGATAATGGATTTACATCATGATGGTGGCGCACGTGAAAACTTAAATTTGGAGAGCACGAGTCGTTAAAAGTAACGCTGCATTGAACGGTACTAAATACTGAGGTACATGAGCTGGTGTACTGGAAGAAATTTGAAGCATAAGAATTTAACAAACTCAGAGGCAGATGCAAAATCTTTGGGTCCACAGAAGAAAAATAGATGGGCCAAAATAAATATTTAACGAGAATACAGCTGAGCATA